AAGGATTAGCAACAACTGGATGTATGTCTTTCACTATTTCATTAATAGCCCTTAAGTCCTGTACCAAACGGTACTTACCATTAGGTTTCTTTACTGGAAAAATTGGAGTATTATACTCCGATTCACATTCCTGTAATATTCCTTGAGCCAAAAATTGTTTAATTAATGGGGCTACTCCCCTCCTTGCCTCAAGCTTCAAGGGGTATTGCTTTACCCTCACTGGTTGGGCCCGTTCCTTTAGTTCCACCTTTACGGGCTGCGCAGCTTTAGATTTTCCGGGAACCCCTGACTCCCATATCCAGGGTACTACAGCCTGCTCAATTTCTTCTAGAATAGGAGAGGCATCCACTTCCTTGATCACAAAAATGCCTGCTATTTGTTCCTCAGGTATTTCCAATTTCACCCTTCCCCCTTCAAATATTATTTTCACATTAAGTCGGGACAACAGGTCTCTGCCAAGAAGGGGTGTGGGGCAGTTTGGCATATACAAGAATTGGTGATCTAATTCCTTCCCCCCAAACCTAAGATTTAAAGGTTGTAAAAATGGTTGTTCCTCTAGCTTCCCTGTTGCCCCCACCACCTGTACTGTTGTGTCACTCAAAGGTCCCAATAGTCTATTAAGTACAGAATAGGTTGCTCCAGTGTCTACCATAAATTCTTGATCCTTTCCATCTATCTCTAAAACTACCCTAAGATCCTTTTCTAGTCAGCCTTGATTCTGATAGTTTCCCAAAACTAGTGCTTGAGCGACTTCTGCTGGTCCTCCCGTGAATCCTCCCACAGGAGCATTCCCCATTGGACCTGTCCTTAATCCTATGTTTCCCATGCCCATACCTCCTCTAACCGGGCATTCATTTTTCCAGTGTCCTAACTGTCGGCAAAACGCACACTGGTTTGGATCCAACCTCCCCGTGTTAGGTGCAAACCCAAATCCTCCCCGACCTCTTGCCAGCCCCCTTTGTCCGTGATTAGCTCCTCCCCGACCTTGACCCCTAATGGGTCTTCCTCCTACCCCTGTCTGTTGTATTACAGCCAGAATACTAGCTTGTTGTCTTTTTGCAGTTTCTTTTTCCCTGTTGTTGTATACCTTCCACGCTACCTCCAACATTTTGTCCAAACTTCCAGTGTCCTCTCCTTCCAACTTTTGTAACTTTTTCCTAATATCTTCTTGTGATTGCCCCATTAACAACAATGCCAATTGAAGTTTTCCTGATTGATCCTCTACATCTAAATTAGTAAACTTCCGAGCCATGTCTTTTAATCGTTCTAAAAAGGCAGACGGTGACTCATTCTTGTCCTGCTTGACCGAATACAGCTTAGACCAGTTCATAGTCTTAGGTATTCCTGTCCTAATTCCTTCCACCAACAATTCCTGATATCGTTTTACAGCCCTTATTCCTCCCGTAGAGTTTGGGTCCCACCTTGGTTCCTCACTAGGTACCAATTCATCAACTGTTTCATTTAGTTGTCTCAACCGTATCTCCTCACGAGCCTTTTCTCTAGTGGCTTTAATAACTATTTCCTTTTCTGTGGAATCCATTATAGTATCTAATAATACCTGTAAATCATTCCAGTCCGGATTCTGAGTCTTTATTACCATTTTAACCACCTTGCCACCCTTTCGGGATCCTCCCGATAACTCCCCGCTGATTGCTTCCATATTACCAAATCCCCGGGGGAGAAAGGCACCTTTATAAGCATCCTTTCTCCCTGTGGTCCCACAGCTTCCCTTAATGGCGCAATTAACTGTGGCCCCTTCTGCCCCTTCCTCCCCTTGCGAGTCCGCCCTGCTAACGGAGTTCTTTTAACACTCTCATTCCTTTCACCATCACCACCATCACTATCACTCTCACTAGATCCCGTTTTTATAGCTATATCCGCAGGGGGAGCAGGGGGCACATTAGGAGCAACCGGAGCCCTCGGGCGTGCTATACAATAAGACAAATCTTCCTCAACTGAAGGATACAAATTACGCTCCTTTCTTTCTTTACATCCCACACACTCCCTTTCATCATTCACTTCTAAAACCAAAATACCACACTCCTTTTGCCATTCATCTTTCCGGTACAAAACGAAAAACAAATCCAAATATGGTATTTCATCCCATTTCTCATTTCTCCTTAAAAATTGCATCAAAGATTCCATTATCTCCAATTCCAGTGTACCATTCACCGGCCATCCCGCTTGCCCAATCTCACATTCAGGCCACCAATGATTACAATAATCTATCATTTTACTTTTATCCAATTCTTGATAATACCCCTCACTTTTCCACCGTTTCAATATACAACCTAATGGTGTATTTCCAGGTATTTTACCATTGGCTTGCACAAAGGTTTTAAAAGTTTTAAAAGACATCATATTACAGCCTTTAATTCCACCTTTAGTTCCAGTAAACCAATACACCTTAAACCAATATACCTTCTCGCCGTCCTTCCCAAACAAAAACAGGAGGCGAGTTCCGGTCCTGCGTCCTTAGACGTCTTATGGCCGGAGCCTAGGCTTTTTACCAACCACCAAATCCAAATCCAATTATCACCTTTTTCCAATATAAAGCACCTTCAGGCTTACCTTGGCAGTTGTCCAACAGGCGCGGCGTCGGGCACGACCGATGTCTCCCCGAGAAGTGCTCGGTGCCGGCTTGGAGTGGATCGGAATGCGGAACCGCCCCAGCTGCCTTTGGAGTCCTGCCGCGGTCGCCAGAAAAACTGTTGCCCGATTGATAAATGGCACAAAACTCGGATAAGTTTTGTGGGTGCTTTATTACGGGCCCGGGGTGCTGGGGGACTCACGTCCCAAAAACCCAAGCCCCCGATTTCACATATGGGTGCTTCCATCTTATACATGCGATTCACAACAAAGTCTCCAAGAAACAGTTCCCTTGTGATACATTCCTTAGTTCACAGGCAAGATCATAAATCTTCTGCTTATCTTATTCTAAGAGCATTGTATGCTGCCTTCAGACAGGTTAGCATTCTTACTCTCCTGCACTAGTTTAATTATTTACTAAATTCCTAAGACTACCTGCTAAGTTACACACAAACCAAACACACACACTATCAACGGCTGCAAAACTGCAAAACTGCTTTTAACAAACCAATTCACACACAACTCATAACTAAACTATAATTACACATTTTGCGCAATTTCATTTCTTTTCCAACACGGGCAGCCGTGACCCTGCTGGAGTGCGGGGGGGACCTCCAGCCCCCCGGGGGGTCCCTGCGCCTCCTCTGCCGAGGGTCTGGGTTCAGTTTTGGGAATTTTGGGATGGGCTGGATCCGCCAGAGACCCGGGCAGGGGCTAGAATACGTCGCAAGGATCAGTGACAGTGGAGGTTACACCGAGTACGCACCGTCAGTCAAGGGCCGGTTCAGGATCTCCAGGGACAACGGGAAGAGCTTGGTGACGCTGACCATGAACAACCTCAAGGACGAGGATTCCGGATCCTATTTGTGTGTCAAAGCTCCTGGTGCTGGGGGTGCTGCTCCTGCTGATTATAGTGACGATGCCCTTGCTGTCCCCATCTCCTCGTCCCCCCCGTCCCCGTTGCCCAGACCCTTCCTCCAGACCCCCAGCCCACACCCAGCCCTTGGCCATTGATCCCAACCTTGCTCTGCCTCAGCCCCAAATCTCACCCCCTGACCCCAAACCACAACTCGCGACCCCAAATGTCCACTTTGTGCCCCAAAACTTGATTCTGAAAGTGGATACTTCAAGCCAAGGGTTAAGGTTTGAGTCAACTTTGTAGTAATGTGCAGAGAGCGGATTTTGGGCCGAACCACTCCAAGATTGGGACATGGGGACAGGAATGGGGTCCAGGCTTGGGGTTTTGGGGAAGGGTCCAGAGAATGGAGATAGGTGGGGACCGGGGAACAGGAACATGGCCAAATGCAACCGAAACATGAGAGTGACCAATACCTGCAGCAGCGTTCCAACCAGCACTACCAACAACACTTCTGCCACAGAAATAGGATCCAGAATCCTTGTCCTTGAGGTTGTTCATGGTCAGCATCACCCATCTCTGCCTGTTGTCCCTGGAGATCGTGACCCGGCCCTTGACCGATGGCGCGTAGTTGGCGTAAGCACCACTGCTGTGGATCCTTGCGACATATTCCAGCCCCTGCCCGGGTTTCTGGCGAATCCAGAATATGTCACAGCTCCCGAAACTGAACCCGGACGCTCGGCAGAGGGAGCGCAGGAACTCCCCGGGGGGCTGGAGGTCCCCCCGCACCCCAGCAGGGTCACGGCCGCCCGGAGCCCTGTGGGACAAAGGGGAGATGCGGATGAGGCCAAAGCTCAACCCTTGACCCAAATCCTGACTCTGGGCCCCAGATTGTGGCACTTTGTCCTTCTCCTCCTCACACTGGTCACCCTACCGTGTGGGTGCAATTCCTTTTCCCAGCTGGACTTGCCCAATGCAGGCCCACAGCCAATCAGGTTTCTCATCCCCATCTCCCCTTTGTCCCACAGGGCTCCGGGTGGCCGTGACCCTGCTGGAGTGCGGGGGGGACCTCCAGCCCCCCGGTGGGTCCCTGACATTGCTGTGCCGAGGGTCCGGGTTCGATGTCGGCGGTATCACCATGTTCTGGGTCCGCCAGAGACCCGGGCAGGGGCTGGAATGGGTCGGGAGCATCAGGAAGGAGGGCTGGAGCTTCATGTACGCGCCTTCGGTCAAGGGCCGGTTCACGATCTCCAGGGACAATGGGCAGAGCTCGGTGACGCTGACCATGAACAACCTCATGGACGAGGATTCCGGATCCAATTTCTGTGCCAAATCTGCTGCTGCTGCTGCTGTTGGTGGTTATAATGTTGGTGCTATTGGCCAGCTATTGGGACTCACCTGTCCCCGTTTCCCAGACAATTCCCACCAAACCCTGACCCCACTCCTGCCCTTTGTCTCAACTTTGCCCTGCTCTGAACCCACATCTCAGCTCCTGGCCCCAAATCTCAGCTCCTGGCCCCAAATCTCAGCTCCTGGCCCCAAATCAGGGCCGGTTTCACTCTGAGCTCGGCCTCGTCCCTCCAATCCCAACCATTGCCCCCAGACTTGTCCAGTTTTCCCCCAAATCTCTCCTGCAGGCACCAAGTCACAGCCACAGACCCAAATCTGACCCATTGGACTGACATCGGGAATTTCGGGCCAAAATTTGAATTTTTGACTCCTTACCTTAACTTTGGCCCCAAATTTTGAAAAATTAAACGTAATTTGAGGAACGAGGGCACTGAGTGTGGCCCAGAGGGGACATTTGGGGCAGAGCCGGAGCTGGGCTGGGACAGAGGGTGAGGAAATGGGGTCAGGGGCTGCGGTTTGGGGGAAGGGCCAGGGGAACGGGGACAGGAGGGGGCCCAGCCATGGGGGAGGAGCCAAGAGCATACGCAGTATTAGCACCAGCACCAGCACGAACACTCTTGGCACAGAAATAGGTGGCGGAATCCTCGTCCTTGAGGTTGTTCATGGTCAGCGTCACCGAGCTCTGCCCGTTGTCCCTGGAGATCCTGAACCGGCCCTTGACCGATGGCGCATAGGCGGTGCTGGAACAACTGCTGTAGATGCCTGCGAGCCACTCCAGCCCCTGCCCGGGTCTCTGGCGGATCCAGTACATGTCAAAATTCCCAAAACTGAACCCGGACCCTCGGCAGAAGAGGCGCAGGGACCCCCCGGCGGGCTGGAGGTCCCCCCCACACTCCAGCAGGGTCACGGCCGCCCGGAGCCCTGCGGGACAAAGGGGAGATGGGGATGAGGCCAAAGCTCAACCCTTGACCCAAATCCTGACCCTTGGCCCCAAACTGTGAACCATGGACCATCCCATCCTGGTTGTTTTGCTCCTGCTGCCTCTCCAAGTTGGGTCCCAAATGCTTTTTCTGGCATGGCCATGTTCACTTCTGGTCAGAAGCCAATCAGGTTTCTCATTCCCATCTCCCCTTTGTCCCGCAGGGCTCCGGGCGGCCGTGACCCTGCTGGAGTGCGGGGGGGACCTCCAGCCCCCCGGGGGGTCCCTGCGCCTCCTCTGCCGAGGGTCCGGGTTCAGTTTCGGCAGTTTTGCCATGCACTGGATACGCCAGAGACCCGGGCAGGGGCTGGAGTGGGTCGCTGGGATCAGGAACGATGGTTCGAGCACCGGGTATGTGGATTCAGTCCAGGGCCGGTTCAGGATCTCCAGGGACAACGGGCAGAGCTCGGTGACGCTGACCATGAACAACCTCAAAGACGAGGATTCCGGATCCTATTTCTGTGCCAAACGTGCTTATGCTGATAATTGGGGCCCTCCTGCAATTTGTAAATGCACCATTGGTGGATCCATCTCCATCGCTGTGTCCCCACCTGTCCCCAAAGCCGAAGACCCTTCCCCCACACCCCAGTCCCATCATCTGACCCTTTGTCCCAGATCTGCCCCATTTCCACCCATGGTGACCAAAGACGCCAAACCCCGTCTGGTGGTGCCCCAAACCCAACTGAGTTGGTGCCAGAATTTGCCAAATTTCACCCAAAATCTCAGCCCTTTGGGCACTTTGGGGGGACCAGGGCGAGATTTGGGGCCGAGAGTTGAGTTTGGGGCCAGACCCAGGGGAGGGTTTGGGGCCAATGGGCAGCGTTGGGGTAACGGGGGCAGGGCAGGGACAAAGGGTCAGGGAGAAGGTTTGGGGCCAGTGGTTGAGTTTTGGGGCAGAACCAGGTGAGGGTTTGGTGTCAGTGCTGACCATTCATGCAAATAGGGACAAAGGGTCAAGATCTGAGACAAGAGGTGAGGTTTGGGACGAAAATCGAAAATTTGGAGATCCAATGATAGGACAGGAGCAAAAACTAGAAGTTTGACGCTATCAACAGCATTGTCACCATGATTAGCAACAGCCCAACAACCAGCACAAAAAGCCCTGGCACAGAAATAGGATCCGGAATCCTCGTCCTTGAGGTTGTTCATGGTCAGCGTCACCGAGCTCTGCCCGTTGTCCCTGGAGATCCTGAACCGACCCTTGACCGATGGCGCATAGCTGATGTTTCCACCAGTGTTGGTGATCCCCGCGAGCCACTCCAGCCCCTGCCCGGGTCTCTGGCGGATCCAGCCCAGCCCAAATTGGCCAAAACTGAACCCGGACCCTCGGCAGAGGAGGCGCAGGGACCCCCCGGGGGGCTGGAGGTCTCCCCCGCACTCCAGCAGGGTCACGGCCGCCCGGACCCCATCCCCAAATCTTCACTGGTTTCACTCATAACTCCCCTGATTTGATCCCAAAACTCCACCAGAGTTTTCCATATCTCAACATTCCTCAAACACTGCAATTAACCCCAATCCATTCTTTAATTACTTGGACACCTCATCCTGAGCATTCTGCATTGATTACACAGTTAATACACTGTGAACGACCCCCAATTCCCCCCGGGACCCCAACCCGGGCACATCCTGGCCACGGCCTCGAGCTCCCTCCGGCTCCTGGCACTGCTGATCCTGCTGCCCCTACCAGGTGGGCTCCGCCCCTTTTTTCCAGCTGGCCATGCTCCTTCGTACCTGCTTGCTCAGTCAGGTTTCCCATCCCCATCTCCCCTTTGTCCCGCAGGGCTCCGGGCGGCCTTGACCCTGCTGGAGTGCGGGGGGGACCTCCAGCCCCCCGGGGGGTCCCTGCGCCTCCTCTGCCGAGGGGCCGGGTTCAGTTTTGGACAATTTGGGATGGGCTGGATGCACCAGAGACCCGGGCAGGGGCTGGAATACATCGCAGGCGTTGACAGCGATGGATACACCAGATACCCGTCTGTATTCAAGGGCCAGGTCACGATTTCCAGGGAGAACGGGCAGAGCTCGGTGACGCTGACCATGAACAACCTCAAGGACGAGGATTCCGGATCCTATTTCTGTGCCAAATGTGATGATGGTGGTTTTGCCAATAGTGATGGTTCTGTTGGTGTTGCATTTGTTGCTGGCTCTGGCCTTGGCTCCAAATCCCTCCACTTTGTTACCAAATGAACCAGAGTCCTGTGATCTCTCCTCCAAATCCCTCACATTTCCATGAAATCTTGGCCATTTTCCCCAAAACTCCACCCCTGCTGCCCCAATTTCCGACTTCCCCCAGTGTTGCCCATTTCACCCAAATCTCCCCTAGCTCCCAGGTCCTGATTGTAGGAGGCCAGATCTGGAGTTTAGGGGTGAAGTTTTGGGGCCAATGGTTGAGTTTTGGGGCAGGAGCAGGGGAGGGTTTGGGGTCTGTGGCCACTGTTGTTGCAAATGGAGTGTAAAGGTCAAAGAGTGCATCAAGAAGAGACGTTTGGGATGAAAATCAGAGCTTTGGCAAAAAAATGAAGGGAGCGGGGCAAAAAGCATTGCCTGAAGGCTATCACCAACATCGTCACCATTGTGACCAGCAGCCCAGCAACAACTACAATCAGGAATGGCACAGAAATAGGATCCACAAACCTCGTCCTTGAGGTTGTTCGTGGTCAGCGTCACCGAGCTCTGCCCGTTGTCCCTGGAGATCCTGGACCGGCCCTTGACTGAATCCGCGTAGCCGGTGTTCCCACCAGTGTCGGCGATCCCTGCGACGAATTCCAGGCCCTGCCCGGGTCGTTGTCGCATCTAGCCCATCCCAAATAGCCCAAAATTGAACCCGGACCCTCGGCAGAGGAGGCTCAGGGACCCCCCGGGGGGCTGGAGGTCCCCCCCAAACTCCAGCAGGGTCACGGCCGCCTGGAGCCCTGCAGGACAAAGGGGAGATGGGGATGAGGCGATGCAAAAGTCAGGAAGAGCTGTGCAATAAATTAACGGGTGGGTCGGAGATAATGGCAGTGTTGAAGGCACATAACTATACTGGAAACCTCTGTTGGAGAATTGAGGCCAGACAAAGGGAATTTGGGGCAAAACTGGTAAAGGTTTGGGGATGGGGGATCGGCCGTGACCCTGCTGGAGTGCGGGGGCGACCTCCAGCCCCACGAGGGGTCCCTGCGCCTCCTCTGCCGAGGGTCCGGGTTATGTTTTGGGGATTATGCCATGCACTGGATCTGTCAGAGACCCGGGCAGGGGCTGGAATGGCTCGCGGGGATCAGCAGCCCAGCTGGTTCCAGCACCGCCTACGCCCCGTCGGTGCAGGGCCGGTTCACGATCTTCAGGGACAACGGGCAGAGCTCGGTGACGCTGACCATGAACAACCTCAAGGATGAGGATTCCGGATCCTATTTCTGTGCAAAGGAGAGTGGTGGTGGTAACCCTGCTGCTCCTTATATTGACCGTGCCAGTGGTGGCACCACCCCTGTCTGAGCCCCCCCTATCCCCAACCCCAGACCCTTCCCCCAAACCTCAGCCCTTGACCCTTTGTCCCCATCTGCACCAATGGTCAGCACTGACCCCAAACCCTCCCCTGCTCCTGCCCCAACACTCAACCATTGGCCCCAAACCTTCACCCCTGGGCTCCAGTTCAGGCCTCCTCCAATCAGGGCCCGGGGAACTGGGGGAGATTTGGGTGAAATGGGCAAAATTGGGGGAAAGTCGAGAGTGGGGATAGCAGGGGCACAGTTTGGGGGAAAAGGGCTGAGATTTCAGGAGAAGGGCTGGGATTTTGGGGAAGGATCAGAGAATTCTGTGATACCTGGGAGCACAGAAAAAAGGGCTTGGGACCACAACCAGCATGAACACCATGAGCATAAGCGCCATTACCAGAGCCACTGCTGTAACATTTGGCACAGAAATAGGATCCGGAATCCTCGTCCTTGAGGTTGTTCATGGTCAGCGTCACTGAGCTCTGCTCATTTTTCCTGGAGATCCTGAACCGGCCCTTGACTGATGGCGCATAGTCGGTGCTGCCACCATTGCCGTAGATCCCAGAGAGCCACTCCAGCGCCTTCCCGGGGCTCTGACGCATCCAGAACATTCCATAACTCCCAAAACTGAACCCAGACCCTTGGCAGAGGAGGCGCAGGGACCCCCCGGGGGGCTGGAGGTCCCCCCCGCACTCCAGCAGGGTCACGGCCGCTCCCCCATCCCCAAACCTTTAGTTTAGTTTTGCCACAAATTCCCTTGTCTGGCCCCAAATCTCCAAGAGAGAAGCCCAGTATCATACAGTGTCTTCAAGCCTGCAATGAGCCCCAGTTCACCCATTAATTAATTGGACAGCTCTGCCTGAGTTTTGCATCACCTCATCACCATCTCCCCTTTGTCCCACAGGGCTCCGCCGGGCAGCCGTGACCCTGCTGGAGTGTGGGGGGGACCTCCAGTCCCCCAGGGGGTCTCTGTGCCTTCTCTGCCGAGGGTCCGGGTTTGATTTTGGGAAATTTGCCATGGGCTGGATGCGCCAGAGACCCGGGCAGGGGCTGGAATTCATCGCGGCGATCTGGGACAATGGTGGTTGGACTGGGTACGCGGATTCGGTGCAGGGCCGGTTCACGATCTCCAGGGACAACGGGCAGAGCTCGGTGACACTGACCATGAACAACCTCAAGGACGAGGATTCCGGATCCTATTTCTGCGTGAAATCTGGTTTAACTAATGGAGGTTGGGGTGGTGCTGGAGCTTTTGTTGTTTTTGACCCTGTCACTGTTCCCATGTCCCCCCTGTCCCCATTCCCCAGATCCTCCCTCAAATCCCCAGCCCTGACCCCATTCCTCTCCCTGTGTCTCAGCTCTGAACTGGTTCTGCCCCAATCTCAGCTCCTGGCCCCAAATCAGGGCCGGTTTCACGCTGAGCTCATCCTGGGCTCTCAAATCCCAACCACTGCCCACAGACTGGACCCA